TATCGACATCAATTGACTTCCGAATAAAGAAAGGAAAGCTTCCCAGGAGTCCCAGAACACAAAATCTGGCCAAAACACTCGAGACAGCCGTCCTAAAAGTCGGGACAGCCGTCCCAGTTAGTCCAGACGGCCGTCCCACATGCCAGACGACCGTCCCACCCAATTTTGACACTTGGGACGGCCGTCCCAAATCCCAAACGGCCGTCCCGACCTCTTCAGACGGCGGTCCCTATTTTTTGCACCCCAGACGACCGTCCCGAGCTGCCAAGCTGAAAAAACCATATATAAGAGCTCATTTGAGCATTTTTACACACACCAGACACTTTTTTTCTCTCCCTCTTTCGAATGAACTCGCCGATTGCCTAATAAGGTAACAATCGGTTAAGGAAGTTTCTTCCGGCATTCGATTCTTCTTACAATTTTAGTAAAGTCGGTCCTGTATTTAGGGAGGAGAGTCCTTGTAGTGCGGGGGATTGCCAAAACGCATCCTCACAGTTGAAGAGTTATAATAAAAAGCTTACTACGGAGGTTCTTTTCAATTCTCTTCTCTTTTATTGCTTTATTTACTGTTTTATGTATGCAATAGAAAATAAAATCATGTAGATAGCCATTTTTAAACATTGTATAATAAAATAGGGTAATAGCGTAATTTCTCTTAATCTTTACTTTATGAATTAATTCGTCATAGGGAACCCGAAAGGGGCGTCGTGGGGGTGCTAACACCTTCCCCACGCGTAACTAACTCCCTTACCTAACTCTGGTTATAATGACCAAGTTTGGTTTTTCTTAAAATCAACGCCCTTTTATCCTTTTCCAATGTTTATGGTCAAAACATTGGTGGCGACTCCATAAGAACCTTTTTGCGAAAACCTTGCTTTTATTAGAGGATAGTTCAGTTGTTGAGCACCTCGGGAGTAATGAACACATTTTAAAATAAAACGCGAGTCTAAAACATCTTTTCGCGACCGCTCGCATAAACTTTCGAGATGTCCCTAGACGTCAGAACGGACGGTGGCGACACTTCTTCAATGAGATTATAGCCTTCCTCCATGTTTTTGCTCATGAAGGCACCGCCAGCTGCAGCGTCTAGTGTCACTTTCTGGTTTGGGGATAGCCCATTATAGAAAATGTGCACGGTCAACCAGCGCTCAATCCCATGGCGTGGGCATTCCCGAAGCATTTCTTTATACCTCTCCCAAGCATCATATAAAGTTTCATAATCTTTCTGGATGAAAGTGATGATCTGTTTCCTTAACTGGTCTGTCTTCCTGCGTGGGTAGTACTTGTTAAGGAAAGCGTGAGACATCTGCTCCCATGTTGAAATTGACCCTTCAGGAAGTGAATACAACCAAGCTCTAGCTTTATCCCTTAAAGAGAACGGGAAAAGCCTTAATCGGATTGCATCACTTGAAACTCCATTTACTTTAAGTGTATCACAGTACTCAAGGAAAATTTGCAGATGCAAATTTGGGTCTTCAGAAGATAATCCACCAAACTAGTTTTGTTGAACCATCGAGAGCAAGGACGGCTTCAACTCAAAGTTGTTCGCTTCAATGGTAGGTCGTGTGATGCTAGGCTTCCTACCCATTGAATTTGGTGTTGCAAAATCACAGAGTGCTCTGTTTTCTGGACTAGCCATATGGTTGTGGTTTGTCGAAACAGAGGCTTATTGTTTGCTTTGCTCTAGTTGTCTGCGGAGAGCTCTAATCTTACGGAGAGTCTGTTCAATTTCAGGGTCAAAGATGTCCTCAAATCTAACACTCCTTCGCATTAAAGAAACCTGCAAAATCAATAGAAACACAAGAACCAAAGTGTAATTCTGCAGAAAAATATTAAAATTAAACCAGAAAAATAATGCAGAAATTTTAAAAGGTCTAATCTAACTAAATCACCGCTTAGCCAATATTGGGAAAAGCACAATCCACGGCAACGGTGCCAAAAACTTGATAGTCGTTCTGCAAGCGTACGGAGTATCGCGTAATAAAAAGTTATCGTTCCCACAGAGATTATGCCCAAGTACCAGTACACAGTGATTCAATTATCTAAACAAATCGTTTCAAATAGAATATATTGAAAAATGAATAGAAAACCAAAAACTATTGACAAGAGACTCAAGGTGAAAACTTTCTTAGGAGTCGGTAGGTTTATATGTTACGTATTCAATTTAAATCAATTCGTTTCCCATTATTTAACTTCTATTTCTAAGGTGAATTTTCCTTAATTGATTAATGTATTCCTCTCGAAACCCCACTAACGTACCTAATTACCGAAGAACAATGTTCAATTCGTTAAGTAGATCTTTTACGCTTTATGAAAATCCAATTACCCCTCAAAGAGTTTTATCTACTTTCGTAACCCAAATCCCTAGGTTCAATTCCATGCTTTTCTAATGATATATCGATCTCTCAATCATCCACATCATTTAAATTCATCTAACCTTATCTCTAAGCCATTAGAAGCTTTAGGTTCTCATGGAAATGAATAGAAAATAGAAATTCAATAACAGAGAAATTCAAAGTATTCAAAATTGATACATAAACATATTCCCCCCAATCCCAAGAATGAGATTTAGTGTGCCATAGAAATGATTATTACAAACCACAATACAATAAATCAAACCCTAACATAAGAGAAAAGTAGAAATGAAACAGGAAGTTAGAGAATAGAAGAGAAGTTCTCACTATCTCCTCTGTAGCTTCTTCAATTTCCCTCTTGATAGAAGAAATCGTTCTCCCTCTTTTTCTCTGGTTTTATTCAATTTTCTTTTTTGGGAAAAACGCCTCTCGTCTTCGTGTCCCTCTTTGTGCTCTATAACTTCTTTTTTATATCTTTTATGCTCAAAAATCGCTCCTCTAATTCAGGGAAAATGCAAAACGTACAGAATTCACTGGCAGTGGGAAAAACCCACGGCCAGTGGATCGTGACAGGGGCCCAATAATCATTTTCCAGTGAAACCCACTGCCAGTGGGAAAAACCCACGGCCAGTGGATCGTGACAAGGGCCCAATACTCATTTTCCAGTGAAGTCCACGGCCAGTGGAAAAAACCCACGGCCAGTGGATCGTGACAGGGGCCCAATGCTCATTTTCCAGTGAAGTCCACGGCCAATGGGAAAAACCCACTGCCAGCGGATTTCACTTAACTTCACCCAAAATGCTCTTTAACAATGTTTTAAGGCCCTGAAGTGTTCTTTTCTCTTTTCTTTTACAATGCAATCCAAGGTTTTATTTTTGAGCTTTTAGTGGCTTGAATTCCTTTCCATCCAATGCTTCATCAAATGCTTCCCGTTTCCAAGTTTATAAACCTATAAAAAAGTTATTCCTGCAAAACTGAGACACCCGAATAACATGTGTGGAATGAAGGAAAACAATTGGAATTAAGGGGAATTCTAACACAAATAAACTAGAAAACTTAAATAAAGCACCATTAAAAATGATGCAAACTAGACACTTATCAGGTTTTCAAAACTTAGTCCAATTTTGAATTTCAAAACACATATCAGACCCAAATAATCGATTATCTTAAGTCTTAATCGATTATTCCAGAGCCATTTTCACAGAGGAGCAAAAACAGGGCCAGATAATCGATTAACAGCCCATTTAATCGATTAACAGGCCATTTAATTGATTATTCTAGTGAGCAAATACTAAAAATGGTTTTCTTGCTGTAATAATCGATTATCCTGTCAGTTAATCGATTATTTCAGTGTATTTTTGATAAAAATGAGTTTTTAGATCTTTTAAAGAGTGGTCTATATGCTGGATATCTTGGACTCTAAAATTACAGACTCAAAAACATAAAAGCAGAGTTATTACATAACATTACAAGTCTTCAAATCTTTAAGTCCTTTATTCTTGAATCATCATCAAAATCTACAAGCTTCATATCCTTGTATGTTCAACATTCATATCCTTGTATGTTCAACAAAAAACACATCCTAATTAGAGTTTGACTAGCTGGGGTAATGTAGAAGAGAAGTTCTTGAACAGATTTTTTCCACCATCCTGCTACATCAAGGCAAAATCTGACATTTCTACTTTCAGACAAGAAGCAGATATAAACCTTTTTGTGAAGCATGAGAGAGAATTAAATCACTGTTGAGGAGGTGCCCAAATCATGGATTTGAAGACATTGCCCAGTTGAACATTTTCTACATTGGCCTAAGACCTTATACAAAGATGCTTTTAAATGCTGCAGCAGAGGAACCATGATGTCTATGGATGTTGAACATGCCACAAGAATTATTGATGCACTAGCTTCTACAAACCAGCAAGCCCAACATGATAGACACCCAGTTCAGAGAAAAGGAATGTTTGATCTTAGCACCACAAATGTTATCCTAGCTCAGAATAAAATTCCGACTCAACAGATTGAAGCATTGACCAAGCAAATGGCAAAACTGCCTCAATAATTACATGTTGTCCAATCCACTTCCAACCAACAAATGAGTTCTGACTTTTGTAGAGGTGATCATCCAAATGGACACTGCTCTTACCAAGGCAATCTACAAGAAGAAAAAGTTCATTATATAGGTGCTCAAGGTAGTAGTGGTCAAGGAAGACAAGAAAATTTTCCTAAGTTTGGGTGGAAACAAGATGCTAGTCCATCTAATAGACAACCTCCATATCAACAACAATCATATCAACAACCTCCATATCAACAACAATAGCAACATTACCCTCTGATGCATGAGAGAATAGCCAAATTGGAGGACACTTTGGAGAAATTCATGCAAGCTTCCTTGTGTAGTCAGAAAAATACGAAGGCTTCGATAAGAAATTTAGAGACCCAGGTGGGTCAATTGGCTAAACAGTTATCTGAGCAGCAAGGAGGACATTTTTCAGCCAACACACAAACCAACCCCAGGGAGCATTGTGTTAAGGAGCTAATTGAGTATAAATTTCATTGAGAAACTCACCTTTATTAGATAGCATTTGCATCTTTTTGTTGTATATTTAACCTTAAAGAGCATAAAAATCATGAGAAGATATTATCAAGTAACTATTCTCCCAAGTTGTTCTTTGATTCAGGATTTGAAGGAAGAGAAAAAGAAATATTGGAAGAAGAGAATCCGCCCAGCGCAGGACGCTCAGCGGATTTGCCAGCCAGAGAAGGTCCAACAAGAGCCAAAATCCGCCCAGCGCATTCTGAGATGCGCCAGCGGATTGGAGAGCGAAAGCATCTCTAATAATTTTAAGGATCCGCCTAGCACATTTAAGAAGTGCCCAACGGATTTCCCCTCTCTTTAAACCTAATTTGTATTTAAGAATCAAAAGAACAGTAGGGAAAAGGAGATAGTCAGACGGAATAATAGAAAAAGGAGATCATTCACGCCTAAAGGAGTTCGTGGGAACGTAGATCCACTTGAATCCAACAAGTTTTGTTGTAATTTCTTCTCCTTATTCTCTTGTTTTGTAATGGGTTCCTCCATGAGGGGCTAAAACTCTTTGGGTTAAATTACATGTAACTACTTTCAGACCATTTCTCAATATATATGATTTTCATTTGATGCAGTTGTGTTTGGTTCTATTCTTAATGCTTTCTTCGGAATGATCAACCGATTTAAGATTCGAGGTTTTTGATTTCGTTGGAAAATATTTTCATTAACCGGAACTGGATTAAATACTTAATAGACAACCTCTCTAGGAATATAAGTATGTTTGTTAATCACGTTAATCTCAAGATTTCCTCGTAAGGCAGAATGTTGGTTTCGAACCGTTGAGGAATCACGTTCAAGGTTAACACCCTAAGACTTAGTTTCGAGGAATTGAGCTAAGTTACATACTGAGAATGAAATTGTAAAAACTGAAATTATATGGTTGGGAAATAGGGCTAGAAGCAAGTACATGTAATCCGATCCATTTTATTTCTATTCACTTTTTGTTATACTAAATATTTCACTCCTTTTTAGTTGTTTTCCCCAAATCATACTTTTGATCCATGATGATAACTATACCTTGTCTGCAATATCACTAAGTCACAAATCCCTATGGATGATAACTCTTTACTACATCAAAACTTGGTACACTTGTCGGTAATTTGAATCCATCAGTGAAAAATAACAACACATTGCAAGTCAATAACTACAAGGAGTGGAAAGGTTGTAGGTAAGGGGATGGGTGACAATCTAGTTGTTGAAGAAGAGGTTTTGGGAAAAGAAGATGAAGAAGGAGAAATTGAATGTCGAAGAGAAGAGGAGAGTAAGAAAGAAATACATCTCCCTAGTAAGAAGAACAAAGAGGGACAGAAAAAATAAAAGATAGAAAAAGGAGGGAGTAAAAAGCCAATTATGAAGAAGTTACCATACCCCAAGGCTCCTTCAAAAATAAACAAAGAAAGACAATTCACTAGATTTATGGACATTTTCAAAAGGCAACAGATTAATATACCCTTGTGGAAGCCATGGAGCAAATGTCAACATATGTCAAATTCATGAAAGAACTCCTCACCAAAAAGAGAAGATTAGTTGAAGAAGAGGCACTAGAACTGGAAGCAAGGTGTAGTGCAATTTTTCAAAAATTCTTGCCAAAAAAATTCAAAGATCCTAATAGTTTTACTATCCCTGTTACCATTGGTGCATTACCGGTGGGAAAAACATTACTTGATTTAGGGGTCAGTATAAATCTCATGTCATTATCTATACTCAAAAGAATTTGAGACTTGGATATTAGACGAACTAGATGTTAAGTGGTAAAAGTTGATATAATTATGCTCTTAATTGTGATATAACCACTCAAATTATAGTGATTCTAATCTATTTTTCTCCCAATGTAGGATAAATTTGCATAATACCTGGATACAAGGGCAAAGATCATAATTGTGAAGTAATTGAAGAAAAATTGAAAGAAAGAAGAACGCTTGAGCGAATGAATGATGCGAGGCCCGACCCAAATTTTCCTATAAAAAGATAAGACGCATTTTGAGATGTAATTTTAGGTTTTTGGAGAAGAGGTGCGACTGCTGTTTTGTTCTTCAAGGATTCTTCAATTCTTCCTCATTTAGAGCATTGTAATGGCTATCATGAGTGACTAACTTCATTCTCTTAGGATTGGGTGCACTTCCTTTGAACTCTTTTGTATCATGGTGATATTTTGAGATATTAATCTATGTTTTAATGTTGTTATTTTTATCTTTTGTTCCTTGGAATGATTTATTCTTGATGTTTGGGATATGATTGGAAAATATATCTTGAAACCCTAGATCAGGTAAGAATATTTGTTACGTTAATTACCAGGAATGGAATGAATGTATCAAGTGCTTAACACCCTAAACCTAATGCTGGAAAATCTTTTAACTGTGTGAGGAATCAACATTTATCAGGTTTTCTTATGAATTTCACATGCGAGGAATCAAAGTGAATGATTTGAGTAGGTGACATAAACATTGTTAGGTTAATTAATATTCTAAGTTCTTTAATTTGATCTTTTCTAAATATCGTTTATCGTTATTTACCATTTAATTTCAATCTAAATCTTTATGAAAACTCAATTTTGTTTCAATATACTTAGTAAGCATATGATTTGGAATTTCCATTGAAATCGTTCCTCGTGGGATCAACTTTTATTTAATCGAAATACTATACTGCGATTGATAATTTTGGTACGCTTGTCAAATATTCAACAAGTATTTCTGGCACCGTTGCTGGAAAATGTCGTATCTTGGAAAATTTGTGTCTAACTTATTGAGTATTATGAATATTTTGATTTTAATTATTTCTTTTTATTTTTTTTGTTTTGTTTTTCTATGTTAATTCTTGCTTGAGTTGCTCTTTGACTTATGCTCTTAAGAGGACAGGTATCCACAGATCAGTTAGAGTTCAATCCTGAAATTGAAACGACTGCTCGAAGGAAGCATGGTAGAAGAGGAAGAGAAACTCAAGAACAAGCAAGAGGAAAATCTGTTAACCCTTCTCCTACACTCAACTTACTAGATCCAATCATAAAAGTCATGGCGGAGGAAGGAGCAAATCCAAATCCACCTAGAAGAACACTTAAAGACTATACTATGCAACAAGGTCCGAGACACTTCTCCAGCATTGCAATACCAGCCAATCAAATATTGGAGATGAAACCAGCCTTCTTAAGCTTGATTAGTGCTCATCAATTCACTGGAATGGATCATGAAGATCCCTACATTCACTTGTCTACTTTTTATGAGTTGATTGGTACCATGAGATTTAGAGAAGCAAATATTGAATCTGCATACTTGAGATTATTTCCTTTTTCATTGGTTGGCAGGGAAAAGGAGTGGATGAAAGCACATCCTAATCAGAGTTTGACTACCTGGGGTAATGTAAAAAATAAGTTCATGAACATATTTTTCCCACCATCCCGCTACATCAAAGTAAAGTCCGACATTTCTACTTTTAGACAAGGAGCTGATGAACCTTTTTGTGAAACATGAGAGAGATTTAAATCACTGTTAAGGAGGTGCCTAAATCATGAATTTGAAGACATTGCCCAGTTGAACATTTTCTGTACTAGCATGCGACCTGATACAAAGATGTTATTAGATGTTGCAGCAAGAGAAACCATGATGGATGTAGACGTTGAACATGCCATAAAAATTATTGATGCACTAGCCTCTAGAGGCCAATAGGCTCAACATGATAGACATCTGGTTCAGAGGAAATGAGTACTTGATCTTAACACCTCAGATGCTCTTTTAGCCCAGAATAAAATTATAACTCAATAGATTGAACCATTGACCCAGCAAATGGCGAAACTACCTCAACAATTTCATGCAATACAATCCACCCCTAACCAACAGATGAGTTGTGATTTTTGTGGAGGTGATCATCCAAATGGATACTGCTCTTACCAAAGCAAACCACAAGAAGAAGCTCATTATATAAGTGCTCAAAGTGGTAGTGGTCAAGGACGACAAAGTAATTTCTCTAATTCTAATAACTATCCGAACAATTTTGCACAAGGATGAAGAGAGAATCAGAATCAAAGTCTGAATCAGAATTAGATTCATAATTTTGGGTGGAAACAAGGTGTTAGTCCATCTAATAGACAACCTCCATATCAACAACAATCATTTCAACAATCCTCATTTCAATAACAACAACAACATCCTCCAGTATATGATAGAACAGCCAAATTGGAAGACACTTTGGAAAAATTCATGCAAGCGTCCTTGTGTAATCAGAGAAATACAGAGGCTTCAATCAGAAATTAAGAAACTTAGATGGGTCAATTTGCTAAATAGTTATCTGAGCAACAAGGAGGACAATTTTTAGCCAATACCCAAACTAACCCCAAGGAGTATTGCAAGTCAATTATTACTAGAAGTGGTAAGGTTATATGCCAAGGGATTGGTGACAACCTGGTTATGGAGGAAGAAGACTTAAAAAATAAAGAAGATAAAGAGAAGAAAAATGAGTGTGAAAAAGAGGAAGAACAAAATAAGAGTGAAAATGTAGAGAGAGAAAAAAGTATTAAAAGAGAAAAAGAGAACAATAGCAAGAAAAAGGGGGAGAAAGGTGAGAATCAAATATCACAGCTAAAGAATCTACCATACCCTCTTAATCCTTCCAAGAAAGATAAAGAAAGATAGTTTGCAATATTTATGGATATTTTCAAGCAGTTGAAAATTAATATTCCATTTGTGGAGGCTATGGAGCAGATGTCAACCTATGCAAAATTCATGAAAGAGCTCTTAACTAAGAAAAGAAGATTTACTGATAATACAGTGGAGTTAGAAGCAGGGTGCAATGTCATATTCCAAAAATCACTACCTCCAAAGTCCACGGACCCTAGAAGTTTCACTATACCAGTTACAATTGGGACATTACCAGTAGATAAGGCGTTGCTTGATTTGGGTGCTAGCATAAATCTAATGCCCTTGTCCATGCTTAAAAGAATAGGGGACTTGGAAGTAAAGCCTACAAGAATGACTCTTCAGCTTGCTGATAGATCTCTAAAATGCCCTTATGGTGTGGCGGAGGATATCTTGGTGAGAGTTGATAAATTTGTGTTCCCAGTTGATTTTGTTGTGATGGATATGGAAGAACATATTGAAGTTCCTCTAATACTGGGAAGGCCTTTTATGAAGACTGCTAAGATCATTATTGATGTGGATGATGGCAAATTAAAGGTCAGAATAGAAGATGATGAAATCAATTTTAATGTCTTTGAAGCAATGAGGCATCCCAAAGATAAACAACAATGTCTCAGAAT